CCACCCTCTGCTGGCCAATTGTAGAACTACAGCCTCTCAATGAAGCTATTTTTTTTTTTTTTAATGCATCTATACATAGTCACAACTAGTTTGTCCACCTCCATTATTGACCACTACAATCTCAGATAGCAAAGTCATGTTAGATATGACTTGGAAAGCACAGTTGTTTATGCTTGCTGCATTCAGTATTAGTTCCAGGAATGAAGCAGGTGTTTGGTTTTGATGCAGTCAGCTAAGTACAAATTCTCAGTTCATTTCTTGCAAAGCTAAAAAGCCCTTTAGGGAAAAAGGGCCTCTGGGCAGCTACAGGCTGACTTTTCCCAAACCACTAATAATACTTGGAGTATAAAACCCAGAAGCATCAGGTGATCTAAAGCTATTGTATTTAAAAACATTAAATAATAAAGTTGAAGTTGTGGCTTCCTGTACACAAGTGACATTTCGAAAAGCCAGCCTAAGCCAAATAACAAACAAGAAAGAAAAAAAAAAGAAAGAAGAAAGAGCCAGATGACTTCAGTTTCAAGGAACTCAGCAGGTGCAATAGGAAAATATGCAAATATGAGTAAATAGTGCACTGTGCTAGTGGCCATCACGCTTAGACCCATGAATCTTGTCACCTGTCCCCAAAAGTCAAAGCAGAGACCCATATGCAGACTGCTCTCAGAACTTGGCCTTTCACATGTGGTGCTTGCATTTGGAGATCCCACCAGCTGTGACACTCAGAAACCCCAAGAGTGTGAAACAATGAGAAGTTTCAGGAGGAAAATATATTTCATTTTCTGCATTGCAGCTCCAGAGTAGAGGGATGTGTGTGTGTGTGTGTGTGTGTGTGTGTGTGTGTGTTTATGTGTTTATTTCATGTGAAAGTGTTTTTTTTTTATAGAAAACATTTTTAAAAATTATTGAAGTGAAGTGATGTCCAGGATGCCAAGGAGAGGGCACCGTGAGCTTTGGGGTTTGGGGCTGTCAGAAGCCAGGTGGCTGGTGGTGACTCATCTGTGCCTTGCTGGCCTGAGGGCTGGTAGGGGTAAGGGCCAGGTGCTGCAGCTTCCTCTTTCCTTCTTCTCGAGGCTGTGCTCCTCAGCTCTGGGGCTGTAGCTGCAGCAATGGTCATCAGATTGTGTTGCTGTTAGGAAAACTTCTCAAACACAGAGGAAGCCACCATTTTGCAAAGCTGTTGTATCACCTGGTTAAGGGCCAGTGTTCCTTGTCACTCGGGTAAGGGTGGTTTTTGGAGATAGGATCTGGTGTCTTAAGAAAGCCACCTTAGACTGCCAGCTTGATGGTTAGCAAGGAGCCAGCACGGGGAACTGACTGCTGGAAGCAGTTTCTGAGAGACACACCTGTTATATCAGAGCTTGTGTGGGAGTGTCCCACAGTCTTCCCTTCCCCATTCTGATGTTTCCCTGTTCCCGTCTCGAGCACTCTTGTATTTCCTAAGAACACCATGTGGCTTTCATTCAGAAGCATAAAGACTGGACCAAGGAAGCAGATACAACCAAACCTGATGGGCTTTGTAGTCTGAATGCCACTGTGCCTTTGACTGTGCCAGAGGCTGCACCATGGGCATTGGAGACTTGTTGGCCAACGGGGCCTGTTTCTCAGTGTTGTCCCACAGCTGTGAGAAATAGCAGGGTCAATATGCTAATGCTGTTTCTAGAGGCCTGAGGGGTACCCTTGCTTTTCTCTACTGCAGCCTGGTCATGGCAGGGCATGAAGTTCATGTTGAACATGAGACAGACAGCAAACAGTATTTTCAGTAGATCAGCCTTTACTATTGTGTTTCTTGTTTATCTGGAATTTACAGTTCACTGGATGTTCTATTTTTTCCTTGTGAAATCTGACTGTCCTGAAATACTGATTTATATAGATGATTTTGCTGTGCTAAAATACTGACCAAGGCAACTCACGGAAGGAGGAGCTTATGTGTGCTTATAGCGCCAGAGTCCAAAATGGCTGGGATAGCATGGCAGCGAGCAGTGGGCATGCAGCAGGGGTCCGGAGCTGAGAGCTCACATTTTGAACCGTAAGCAAGAAGAGAGAGAACTAAACATGGCGTGGGTTCTTAAACAGTCAAAGCTTGTCTCTGGTGACATACTTCCTCCAACAAGGCCACACCTACTAGACCTCCCCAGTTTCACTAACTGAGTGTTCAAACATTCTGAGCCTATCTGGGGACATTCTCTTTCAAACCACTACACTGGCTAGAGCAGAGTGTATTTACCTCTCCATTGGCAGGTGTAAACCCAACTAAGAGAAACAAAGATGTAACCAGGGTTCTGTCATCACAGCTAATGATCCACAATCAAAGCTCCTTCATTGAGAACCCAGACAGATGCTTCTACCTCGTGAAGTGGTGTAGATTGGCTTCACACCAGCTGCACACTGGCTGTACAGGAAGATGGTTTCCTATGGACCACGCTTTCAGAGAATAAAAGTAGTTGCTGTGTCAGCGTGATGGACTCCCATCTAGGACTGTAGTTCTGGGAAACCGGAAGACAGCTTTACTTCTTTGAAGGAAGCAGCCTTCTCTGGGACTGTTATATGATTTTCTTTTTTCTTCTTTACACTTTCCAAGGAGTTTTGACTTGGCTCTGTCCTCTGCAGACTACTCTGTAGCAAGGAAGGATGTTCAAAGTGGGCTAGTACAAAGAAGAGTCCTGCATCCTCATCCTTGGGTGTGCACACAGGCACACCCTCTTGCATCCTCATCCTCATGTATGCATGCAGCCACGCCCTCTTAATGACAGAGAGAAAGGAGAAAGGAGCCTTTGACTTCTCTCATTGTGTGGACACCATGAGTATGTTTACACCAGCTGAGCCAGCTGTGCTGTTTCTAGGTGATATCTCTTATAGACCACTGTCATTCATGTCACATGGTCCCCCAAACACACCATCATGCCACATATGACTATTTCTCTCTTTGAACAGCTCAGGGCTTTGGGCAGACATTCAGGAACTCTGGCACTCTGATGTTTTCTGCTTTGCTTTGCTTTTCCTTTCTTCAACAGACAGGGTTAGGGTGGGGCTTGGGAAGAGAGGGAGGGAATGGCTGAGTTCCTTCCTCTAGGGATGGCTAGGGTGTTGTCCTTGAATGTGGGCAGTGTATATGAAGCCTGAGGTTTTTCCAGTGGAGCAGTCACAACCCGCTCTGTCACCTCTGGGTTTTGCACATTCCATGGCTGAGGAGGGGGAGAGGGAGGAAGAAGGGACGGGATCAAAAAGTGCTATCAACAAGCAGGGGTACTTGCTCACCTGGAGGGCCAGATGAAGGAGGCACTGGTGTGGACATTAGGGGTAGCCTAGGTTAGCCTTTTAGAAATGTCCTCTCATTACATCTGGGGACTCTCGGGTAGGAGCTCTCAGGAACGGTGTGTTCTGGTGCCTCCTAATTTCAGCTTGTTTTTAGAAATTACTTTGATCGTGTTTGTTGATCCAGGTGGTCAGTTACTTAAAACCTTAACACTTTGCCTTTTGTGAACAAAGCCAGACAAGAACCTGAGAGAAACTTTTGGGGACTGACCATAGTTCTGGGATCTGGGTCTTTGGGGTTCTGTTGCAGATCCTGGGGATTGTGCCATTCTGGCCATACAGAGCCTTGGACAAAGCTAGTATACAAAGGAGTCATAATTCCATCCATTGAAAGCTGGTGAGAGAAGCTAAAGTGGGAAGTCTTATATTTGTATTGTTCATGGGAGACAGAGAAAACTTCTCATCTCCCAAGTATGGCCTTAAGCCATAAGATTTTAAAAATAAAATACTGCATGGCCCAACAGCCAGTCAGAGCCTGTGGTAACCACTCTGTGGTGCCTATAACAAGCACTGGTGCTTGGGTTCCTGGAGAGGGCCATGACTCATGCCCACATGGGCTTTCTCTGAGGTCTTTTTACCCATTGCATTTAGATGACTAAATATGGACTCCATTCATACAGACCTTGCGGTGTGGGCAACTGTCACTGGCAGAGTGAGTCCTTGCCTATGTCATCAGGGCTGGTAGGTCCTGGGCCACACACCCCTTGTTCAGTCATCATATTGATGGCAACTGAGGGGTCTCTGGCTGTGTCCCGGTATTAGTGGCATGGCCCCAGAATGTCCCACTGCAGGGCTGTCCTCCTTCCATTGTCATTTTTGGATGTGTGCCTTCACTTACAGCAGAGTCATACACCGTCGATGGTGCTTCGCAGGGCAGGGGTAGCACAGGCCTCACAGGTTAGCACTTGGCACACACACAGGCTGAGTGAGTGCCGAGTCTCCTTTATCTCAGCCTTGCCTTTCTGTTCTTTTAAGCGAAAGTTTACAAAACAAGTAATTCCTAAGTTTCAGTTTGCTTGCCATTCTGGGTAGCATGATGAATTGTTAAGCCACCTCACCCTGCCTCTCCTGAGATGAGAATGGTTCCTTTGTCTCTTGTCTTCACGATGTGTATGCCATCCCACCGCCAGCCATAGCAGCTGTCTCGTTGTCTCAGTGCTCAGGGTCCTAGGACCCCTGCTTTGCTTAGTGCCGGTCATAAAGTGGGGAAGTAGTGATGCTGGCCAGAGGGGCACGCAAAGAGAAGCTAAGGAGCCCCTCTTCAAGAGAAGAGGTGAATAATCTCACCTGAATAAGGAGACCAAAGCCAAAAGCAAACCCCACCAATGCAGGCAGAGGTGGCTAAGATCTACCGTAGAGGGCATTGTCTGTCTGTGAAACTGTGGAGGTGAAATTCATGGCAGTTTTCCAATCTCACTTCAGACTGCGGAAGCTACAGCTATGGCCATGGCATTTGATTTGGGCTGAATTATGGAAGAAAATGTTTATCATTTTGGGTCTGGCTCTATGTGTGGTTCAAGAATCCATGGCAGACATTGAGACATATATATTTTAGGAATAGGACATTTTGCTGTGGCAGATGACATCGTGGTGGAGTCCTTAGCGTGGGATACCTGTTGTGTATGTGTTACCTATGTCATCATAGGCTGCTCGCCTCTCTGACCTGGATGTTTCTGTCTCTGCTCTAGGACTGCTTGCCATCAAGGAAGCACATGACATAGAGACCAGGCTCAATGAGGTCGAGAAGCTGCTGGAGACTGTTATCAGCATGCCATGTAAGGTGAGCAAGACGTCTGGGGGGGCAGGGAGGCCAGAGTGGCCATCACCACCCAGACTTAAAGACAGCTCCCTGTATCTCACTCACTGTTTCACTGGCAGACAATCAAGGGAAGGAAGACTTCTGTGGGCTCTGCTAGGTTCTTTCAAGTCATGTGGTGTGAGGCAGGAGGGAACAGGCTTTCTACAGAAGTGGCAGGCTTTGCTTTCTTCCCTTGCCTCAGAACCCATTCTTCTTGCTTAGGTTTAACAGGCGCCAGGAAGCCAGGGGCTGTGTCAGCATCATTGGCAGCTACAGTGTTCAGTTCCGTCTCCCTGGAACTCACAGTGTTCAGTTCCATCTCCCTGGAGCTCACAGACTGAGTCTGTGAGCTTGATGTGGGGAACTAAGAACCTGGAGGGTCAGGCGGAACTCCTTAGCACTATTGTCCCCCTTGGTGAATGACTGAAGTAGAAGCGACCCAGCAGGTAGTAAGGAAGGGAGCTGGGTGTGATATACCAGCTGTGTGCAAAGCATTCCACAGAGCCACCCACCCTAGCCGGAGGCCTCGCCTGTTAGCCACTTGTAAACAAAGAAGCTGCAATGATCCACTCACTGGACACAGTCCATCAGCTCCTGCCCAGGCCCCAGGGCTGCCTTCTGAGCATCATGTCAGTTGGGGTTACCTCTGTGCACAAACACCAGCATCCCTGTGGAACCTACTATGGAGAGCTTTTCAGCCTCGGTAATGACTGTGTTTATCCCCAGTATTCTAGGTCAGAGGTTGTACTCACCTTCTTTGAAAGATCGCCTCTGGATCAGGTGTTAAAAAATGATAATGTCCATAAAATTCAACCCAGCTTTCAAAGTCCTGTCAAAATATCAGGTAAGAGCTGCAGTGAAGGCGTGGGAGAAATGCTCTCGGTGGCTGTGGTGGTGGCAAGGTCTTTCTCAGTGTGGCATTTTGGTGGGTGGGCTCAGCCTCCCCATTGGGAAGAACAGAAGGCATTTGGTGAGATGCTCGGCACCATTCTTGGGAGGGGTAAGAAAGTAGGGAAGGCTGGCAGGGAAAGAGAGACAGGGCAGTTGTGTCTTAACCGCACAGGGATGACAACCCCAGTTGTGTGCATGGGTGAGCTGCGTGGGTGGGTTCCAGGACCTAGGGTGGGAGAGGTATCCTAGATATGGCTGTGAGTGCACAGGGTGGGTGGTCCATTGGGGCTGTTGGTGTCTGGCAGCTTCCTGGATTATCTTAAAGGAGAGTGGACAGTGTGAGAGCCTAGGGCCCCTCGGTAACTTGAACCTGCCTTCTAGAACCATCTATACAGCTTGTTGTGAGTAGTGAGGCTGTTAGTCTGGGTCCATGTCTGTGAACCCTCCTACAGGGATCAGTCAGCAGAGGCTCCGAAGTCTCATTGGTTGTCAGATGGAGCTCTGATTCCCTACGCTGGCTCATGGGCAAGCTTCTGCTCTTGCGTCTGAGTGGGAACAGTGCAGGGTCCTAGGCCTGTGTGTTTCGTTATTTCATTGTTTGGGGCAAATGGGAAAGAGAACAGCAGAACCCTTAAAGGGATGGGACAGTGCCTCAAGATGACCTGGAGTCATCACAGTTGAGGGGACAAATGATTTCAGGAGCTGCTTCTGGAGAAGTACCCTGTCCCCTGTCCCCTGTCCTGCCTTATTTTATCATGTAATGATCATATCATGATGTAATGACAACATGGTGCGTGTTTGTCCTGTAAGACTGAAAATAATGCGGTGAAATTAAAGGGGTGAATGCAGATGCCAGGGTTTTAGGTATGTTTTTATGTATTTTTGAAGGACTGGTGACAGGTCCTTGCTGCTGTGGGAATATTCCCTAGCGGCCTTTGGTCATAACAGAGGTGCAGCATCCAGGTCTGCAGAGGCAGGGATCTTGTCCTTCTTATGCACCTTGAGACACCGGACCATGTGAGATGTCATGCCTGGCTACGAAGAAACTGCCAAACAAGTTGCTGCATCACAAAAAAAAAAAAAAAAAAAAAAAAAAAAAAAACACATGGATGGGAGGGAGGAGCAAGTAGGAAGACATGGGGCAATGGGCCTGGGAATATGCCCCTTAGGCACTGGTGGGCCCCGATGGAAAGAGTTGGTCAGGGGCTGGTTTGGCACAGAACCCTGGTTAACAAGCAGGGAATTTGTAAATGACCTGCCGCCAAAAGTCTTGGTGCAAGGTATAGTGTGTGTGTGTGTGTGTGTGTGTGTGTGTGGGTGTGGGTGTGGGTGTATGTGTGGGTGTGAGTGTGGGTGTGTGTGTGGGGGGGGTGCGGTTGTTGCTATGTGAGACAGCAGTCTGGGGATAGCCTCCTTCCTAAAAAGTGTTTGGAGCTCTTCCACGGATGTTCTCCACTCCTGAGGCTCTACCCTTGGGTATTCCCAGCTCTCCTGTTTTAGCTCCCAGAACAACCAGGCCTGTCTGGAGCCAGAGCGTCCTCACATGAACTCGAGTGCATGGATATTAACTGGAGTGTGCACAGTGAGCAGCATGCTGCCAGCTCCACTTAGCGTGTACATCACTCTCCACTAAGGGAGCAGACACGTTCAATAAGCTGCAGAGACTTCCACACTGATTTCTTCCTTTTTAAGATTTATTTATTTTTTTTATATGTATGAGTGGTTTGGCTACGTGTAGGTCTATGCACCACACAATGAGGTACTTATGGAGGCCAGAAGAGGGCATTGAATCCCTTGGAACTGGAATTATGGGTAGTTATGATCTACCATGTGAGTGCTGTGACTCGAACCAGGTCATCTGCAAGAGCAACAGTTGCTCATAACTGCTCATCCAACTATCTCTCCAGGGCGCCTTTCCCCTATCTCTTAAAGGATTCCTAAGACCCATCGTCCCTTCTCTTAAGGGGTGTCTTCATGCACTCTGGCATTTTGGAAGACAGTGGGTGTTATGGAGTTGGCACAGACCCCTCTCTCTTAGGGATGGTGATCTGGGCTCTGAGTGTCCAGACTTTTCACTTTCAGTGTTGAGGCTGTAGGTGGTAAGGGCTCCACCAGATGGCACTATGCACTGATTGTGCTGGAAAAAAAATCTTGTCAATATTCTGGGGCCTCATCAAGGATAACCACTCAGACTTAAGCATTCCTTTCCTGTATTGATTTAAATGTTTATTAAGCATAAGAGAGCACAGGTCTTAAGTGTTCTGCAGTGAGGCTGTAGCTATGCAGTGCAAAAGAAATAGAGGTCTTAGCTCCACCTAGTTATGGCCAATAGGACCGATGGATTTCTGACACAAAAGCAGGTTGTTCCCATTCAAGGTTTGAAAGGAAACACATTTTTGGTGTGTGTGTGTGTGTGTGTGTGTTATTTAATCTATTCAATCTTAGCCTTAATTTTTACTATATGGGGATAGGCAAGTCAATCAGTTGATAAAAAGGATATTATTTGTGCTTTTGTTCTGTTGCTGGGATAAACTAAAATATAATGCCAGGGGGCACTTAGAAGGGAGGAAGGCTATACTGAGAATGCCACCACAGCTGACTAAAGATCTGCAGAAGACATGGAATCAGAGACTTGATGACCTGAAGGGGTGGTGGCATAAGATACGTGTTACAAATTAGGAAAATCGCTATTAAGGCGCCATGCACACAGATTGAAAAATGCTAAAATCATCCGTTGATGGAGATAAGCTAAGCAGTGGGTGGAAGTTCAAGTAAAAACAGGGTTTGCATAGTATTACGGCCTTCATCTCCAAGATAGTTGTTGACGGATATTGGATAGTGGGCCTGTGGACTTGAATAGCGCACATGCATACAGGCACCCTGTATTTCCACAGAGGGCCACTCAACAGGCCCTGTGGGATTCTTCCCAATGGCACATCACCTAGGTCTAACCACCTGGGAATCAAGCTCTAGGAAGAGTTGTAAAGTCGCTCACCTCAATTCTTTACAAGTCATGAGAAACAAGGAAAAACCAGGAGCCATCAGAGTCAATTAGCTCAGGGCAACACGGAGTTCTGCATCGGATCTGTGGCAGAAGAAAAGGCTGTCAGCAGAACACTGGGCAAACACCACTGAAGGGGCTCTTCACTTAGTGGTATTGTCCCCTTGTCATTCCCCAGATGTGATGAGGGACCCTAACTGTATGAAGTGTTGACAGTAAGGGGAGCTGCTATAGGGTATGTGTGTGTGTGTGTGGGGGGGGGGGTCCTCTCTACATCTTCATGGCTTACCTATAATTCTAAAGTTAACTATAAATTAAACATTATAAAATATGAACACAGGACTATAAATGTATCTTGAGGTCTGGGGTGTGCCAGCGTAGCGTATTTGTGGCCTTGAGTTTGATCCTTGCATAGGGTTGGGTGGGGTTAACTTGAAAAGAAACTTCTTCAAGTGGTAGGAATGTGACTTCAAACATTAAAGTAGTTCATGATTTTTTTGCTGTGGGTTCTAAATTGGCAGACAAGAAATTCAGGTCTTAAGTTTGCTTGAAAATAGGATGTAGGCCCTGACATTTTTCTTTAATTTTGTCCACCTCTAGCAACTAACTCACCGAAGCCAAGCCCACCTCCCTAAAGGGTTCCCAGCCTTCCAAAATGGTATGAACAGCTGGGAACTGGGTGTTCAAACACACCAGTCTATGGGGGAGCTCCACCTACTTGTGAAGACTGATAAGAGTAACTTCCCATTCAAGCCGTTGTTGTTCAGTGTGGGGATGGCACCTGGGGAGGACGCCACTGAAGCACTATTAGCCAAGTGGTTATTTGCAGTTAGATTCGTGCTAAGCTTAGACTTTCTTTGTTGTAAATTTTGGATAATTCCTCTTAGGTCTTTAAGTCACAGCTCTTCTTAAGACCTTGTTTTTAAGTGAATAGAAGAAATAAAAATATAAACTGTCACAGCATCTTTGCCCCAGTTTTAGCTAGCACAGGTATAAGAGAGCCATGTGTGTGTCTGGCCAGGTTTGAGCCTGCTGTGGTATCTGTTCTTGTGTCAGTGTTTCTCAGTGAGCCATCCCTCCTCAAGCCAGTTTGGAATGGCTGCACTAAATGTTTTTAGATTCAGCAGGTGGCTCAGAGTGATGAGGGTGAGGATGGGGATCCAAGAGGGAACAAGAGCTTCTCAGGATCATCTTTTGTGAAATACTGACAATTTGCACAAGGTCCCTTTGTGACCTGGGGGCTGGGACTTTGAGGGTACTAGAGACCAATATACTTATTGTCCTCAGGGTCCAACTGGCCTTGGGAACTCTAGCTCTCCTTTATGTCCCCAAAGGCCCTTTGTCATAGACAACTGAGGAGTGACTTGTTCCAAATCTATTCTGGAGGGACCAGTATAGATTCCTGGACTCCACAATTCACATTTAGCAAAAATTAGGCATGCCGGTAGCTCCAGGAGTTTGTACAGAAGCGACTTTGCATCAGTGACATCTGTTTGAACTCCCAGATTCCCTTCCCCCCCCCCATATTCCCTTGGCAAAGGGGTGGGAGAAGGAGCCCTAGACTGTCAGTTAGCCGTGTGGAGGCTGCGCTGGGGCTGCCTGCACTTTTTCAGATGGACAGATTTGGGTCAGAGCTAATAAGAACAATAAAGAAAGTGGCTCTTTGCTGCCACGCCCTTTGAGTGGGGAGATGAGGGAATCGGAACTTTGTGTGGGGTTCAGTGATGTTCAATCTGACAGCTCAGTAGCTAAGCGTCCCCCCCCTTTGTTCTTGGTACAAGCAAATGATGACCTGAGTTCGCAGACCGATTCCTTGTTGGTTTGTGGAGTCCCTCCCAGATGGAAGAGCAGGGAACGAGGGAGGGGAGAAAGCCAGAAGCTGAGAGCCCATGGCTGTGACTGACTGAGAAGTGCTCCAAGAGACCCATGACACATGCTGGCTTCTTCTCCAGGAAGCCAGGAAACTGGACTTGCATTTCAGCAAGGATTTGGCAAACTGATGAATAATCTTTTGTGAGAGTGAAGAGGAAACCTAGTTTTCTTTATTCCTTTCTGGGTGTTCCCTGATTCTCTACATCTGGAGAGAAGTTCACAGAATGAAGCACCAAATGACTAGAAAGGTTAAAAATAAAAAGGAAGTGACAATTTCATCATGAAAAGGCACATTATAATTTAGGAATAAATTTGATCATGGTCAGGTGGGGGAGGACTAAGATAATCCTTTAAACAAAGGCATCTGATGTCCCATAGCCCTTAAGACGGGGAAAGGTACTCTTGTTGGCTGTGTGTGATAGGAGGAGAGGAGAGACTGAAGTCAACTGTGTCCCTAATGTGAGGATTCTATCTTGTGAACTAAACATACTCGTTACCTGGGGTATGTGTTAAGTGTGTCTTTTAGGGTGAGAGCCTGGCTTGAGAGGACTAACAGAGGTGGTCCTGAAAATGGAGCTTAGCCGCCTAAGAACCAAAGACTGGAGATGAGTGAGGCTCACAGAGAGGGGAAGATTCCAAGGCCCAGATGGCACCTAGACTGCTGAGTTCCTGAGGAAAAGGAGAAACACAGTTCTCTTCTGAAATGTCAAGGCTGCAGTAGACAAAAAAGAGAGAGCCGAGCCATTCTGGCTCTTACAGTCAGCTCTCTATATCTGTGGACCCAAAATCTGTGCACTCAACCAATTACAGGCCAAAATACTGGGAAAAAGTGCTAGTCTACTGATCAAGTGTAGCCTTTTCCTTGGTCATTATAATAATGATTTACATATCATTTATATTGTATCAGGTATTATACATGATCTAAAGATGATTTAAAGCCTAGAAGGAGAATGGGTGTAGATTCCAAAAACACTGCTCCATTTTGCATTAGAGATTTGAACATCGTAAGTTTTGCTGTTCAGAGAAGGTGTCTGTAGCTAAATGGATGCTTGCTTGCTATGATGGAATTCAGGACTCCATTAGGTTTTATTAGGATTTACCTAGCATTAGGTAAATCCTTGGAGATTCTCAAATACAATCTTGAAGGTGTCCCATGGAGGAGAAGAGTCCCAAGGTCACAAGGTTGCAGTCTAAGCCTCCAGCTTAGTGACTGCTACCAATGCTCCACTTCAGCCCTCCCAACCATAGGAGAGCCCTTAGAACCCAACAGCCAGTGTGGATACAGGAAGCCGCTTTTGTTTGTGGATTTTTCTAAAGAACCCCCATCTGTGCTTACAGGGAAAATATTAATGTACATACACAATTTTATGAAGCAAAGCCAGCAGGTTGCTCGTTTAAAATGTACTCTGATCTCATCTGATGCTTAGTACTAACCAGGATGTGGACGCTGCCAGCCGGATCTCAGCCAGGGCTGAGGTCAGAAAGGGTAGGGAGACTGTGTGATGCTGCATGTCACAGTGATACATAGATCCTGCCTCAAGCTTGAGCCCAGTCATGTGTCTCCTTCCCTTCATCCTTCACTGCAAACCCAAGTGGAAGGGCACATGGAAGGTGTTTGGATAGCCAGAGGATCTTCCTTTAGGGAAATGCATGCACTGCTCCTGTGGGCACTGGTATCAGCACCTTAAACTGCCTGTCTGAACCCTAGATGGATTCTTGGAGCAGCAGGAGAGAGAATGAGAGACCCTAGTTGATGGGGAAGGCGGAGATTAATGTAAACCTCAATTCTAGCATTTTTGTCACAATTTCACACACACACACACACACACACACACACACACACACACACACACACGCACGCTGTGCTGTGTGGTCCCCTCACCCAATTTTCCCTCTTGTCACTCTCTCCCTCCCACACTGAACCCGTTCTCTTTACAGTTCCCCCTCCTATTTTCATGACTTTTTTTTTTTTAATGACACTCTATATTTAATTAGAGTTGCTGGCATGAGCATGGACGGGAGGTTATTTATTTATTGAGTTTGACTGTATCTACACCCCTGAGGAATATCACTATCTTTTCCATGGTTCCCATAGCTACCTGCCTGTATCTCCTCAGGAAGGGGTCCCTCTCCCACCCATGACAGGTGTCGATGGATCCAGTCTTGTGCAGGTAGCCATTGTTGTTGTGAGTTCTGGGTGCAACAGCTACATCAATACCAGAAGACAGCATCTCATAGCCCTCATCCCCATCCTCCAGCTCTGACATTCTTTTTGTCCCCTCTTCCACAACATTCACTGATCCTTGGAGGGGTTGCTATAGATGTTCTGTTTGGGGCTTGGCAGTTAGCATCACTTATTCTCAGCATTGTGATCAATTATGAGTTTGCATTAACAACTGCCCACTGTGGTCAATCTGTGATAGATAAGTCCTGAAATTCTAAACCCAAGTGCTGACTCTTCCTTATGACTTTGGTTTCCAGAAATCATGAGGTCCAATGGATTTTGTTTGGCAAACACAGAAACAATAGTTATTGACCACAGCATACCCAACGGGAAGGACCAGCTCCTGGACGCAGACTCCACTGAGCATTTGTGAGTACACAGCTTCTGATGTCGAATCATGCATGGGGTTGAAAGCTGGTGGCTTGTGCAGTGCTCTATAGGAAGGGATGGACATGGCCCTGAGGCACCCAGCAGCAGACGCTGCCAGTTTAGAGGTCCCTGTTTTAAACACTTGCCTCATATTCTGGTGAGAGTTTGATTCATTGATCTGAGGAGAGGCCTAGTCACCCAAACACTAGGGCGTTCTGAAGAAGTTACAAAGTTCCAGGATCTGGTTTGTGCTGGTTCTGAGGTATGAAAGCGCATCTTCTGGTCCAGGCTCCAGAAGCCACATGCTGGATTGGGGCTGTGACACGCGTGTGATCTCACAAGTTTATGAGTGCACCCTTAGAACCTTATTCTAGAGAGAGGCCTTGATTACTGAGGGCTGGACAGCCAATGGCCTGCTTTCTCCCACCTCTGAAATGGAACCTCTGACCAGAATGTGTTTTAGAGAGCCTGTCACCTAGAGGCCAGCAGGAACAGCTACCCACATGCTTGGCTCCTGCCGGTCAGCTCCTTGGTGAATTACCTGGGTAGCAGAATCGTTGGACAGGGTGACAGGAAGGCCTGTCTTTGTTGCTGGGTGTTCCTGAGCAGAGAAGGGGTCCCTGGGAATGCTGTGGAGGCAGCCCCATAGCAGCTGGTGGTGTGAAACTGACTCCTCCCACGACAGTCCCTGGCCAGCCCCTCCTCACACAAAGCAGAAGAACTTCTCCTTGATGATCACTCATTCAATATGCACCAGAGTACCATCTCTGTCAACCAGAGGTCCCAAAAAACTGCATGTGGTGGGTGCAACATTCCATGGTGTCTTGGCCAGGCATGCCTAGAGGCTAAGCAGGCCAGGGGATTATTCTGTCAACACAGTGTCTCGATTTTGTTTTTTGAGACAGGGTTTCTCTGTGTAGCTTTTGGAGCCTATCCTGGCACTCATTCTGGAGACCAGGCTGGCCTCGAACTCACAGAGATCCACCTGTCTCTGCCTCCCAAGTGCTGGGATTAAAGGTGTGCACCACCAACGCCTGGCTATCGACACATTCTCATGCAAGCTTCTAATATCATGTCCTCTGTGAGGTTCTTCAGTTCCCACTAACTGTGATCCGCAACGTGCATCAGTCTCTTGGGAGTAGGCTGTTGAACACTCAGAGACTGCAAGGCTGGTGGTGCTTGATGCTTACCATGTGGCCTTGGGCTGTGAGTCCGGGCTGTCATGCAGTGGAATCTGCAGAGAGCACCCAAATTTGACCCCAAAGGATGGTGGGCACCATGAGTGATCACTGAGCGGGTGACATGCCCGATGGAGGTGAGGCAGGAGGGTCCTGAGACATCTGACAGTTCTCCCAGCTTCCCTCCCGTCTTCAGGACATGCTTTGGTCTGGGGGAGGTGATGAAGGCAGAGCAGATGGTAGAATGTTGAGGATGGTCCTGCATACACACTGTGTAAGCTTTCCAAATCCATGCAATTTTCACCCTTCAGAGGCCGAATCAGATGGAATCAAACCAGGCTTTGGCCACCAGGTAGAGCCTCCCTCCATGACCATAGGGGGCCTCCTGTAGTGTCCCTCCCTGGTCTCCTTGCAAACTCCTCTTCCCTGAGGACATATCCCCTACACCTGCCCATCCCTTGCTGTTCTCCAAGCTGACACAGGCCTGGCACAGAACAGAAGCCAGACTATCACCACAAATAAAGGAAGTCCTGGCTAACTGGCTTAAACAGATGTGGAAAGTAATTGCAAAGGCACCAAAACTCAGAAGTCCAACTTACTATGCAGGGCCACCCATTTTATCCAGTCCGTATATTCACAGTTCTTCCCGTGTGTGTCACATGCCTGGGAAGGACCTCATCTCATGATGTCCCTCGTCACCTTTCACAGGGCCTGTATCCCTCAGTATTCTTGACTGCACTGGCTGCTTGTTGCTTTCTCTTTCTTCTCTATCTGGGGTCCCATAAGGTGGCCTTCACCTTTGTCATCTCTTTCAGGTTTGAGAATGGTGGCGAGTTCACCCCAGAGCTGGAGGATGGCGATGACCCGACAGCTTACGTCACCAACTTGTCCTATTACCATCTGGTTCCATTTGAGACAGACATTTTGGACTGAGCCTCTCCATCAGGCCTTCTCTGCCTCAGTCCTTGACTGCATGTCCTCATGCTGCCCCACTGAGTGGTCCCAAGGGCCAAAGCTGCTGCTCAGCCTGGGCCTCCCAGGGTCCTGAGGTTCACCCGGCCTGGATGTCCTGAAAGCGGAGGCTCAGGGCCTCTTGATGTCCATGGGCTATCCCCGGGCTGACTCCAGCAACAGGAAGCCACATGTCCTGCAGCCCTGAGGGGCCTCTTACTTGCACTCAGCCCCACCAGCCTGCCTCTTCTCCTGGGAGGCACTGTTCCTGTGGGCCATGCTTCCTCTTGTTCTTACTGCCTTCTTGAGGGGAGCATTCTCCTTGATCACATGCCCGGAGTTCCCATGTTTTCCTCATGTGTCAAAGGTGTGAAGCATTTCAAGAGGGTATTTGATACGTCACCAAGGTCTGGATCACAAGGGCAGGGGATATTGAGTGACTCAGGGCTTCCCTGAGACGTGTGGCTTTACATCACCTCCCTGGAAATGGGGTCTGGGGTCAGCTGGAAAGAGTGTTTACACAATGTCAAGCCTAGAGGGAAGTGCTGGCTTCAGAGAGAGGAAAGCATCCTCGGTGATGCGCATATGAACCCAGTTCGAAGTTTTCCTCCCTCCTCTCTGCCAGCATCTGAGCTCCTCTGCCAGGCTGTGATACTGTTACCACCACCAAGGGTGCTAGAAGTTCCTTCCCCCGGTGCACTCAATGGTAGAATTGCCATCATGAATCAGAAAGGAAGGGATGGGAGGAAGAGACGCTTACAGCTTGGACCACAGGAAGGTCTGGGTCCTGCGAGCTCATCTCCTCACTGTGTCTACTAACGACCAACACTTGCTAATGTAAATAATAGTAAATTATTGAAAATTCTAATTCTTTTACACACTGTTTTTAATCTATTTTAATTAAATAAAACCTATTGCTCTACTTTGATCTAGTGGGGATGTTTGTGTAAAAAGATGTGGTCCATTTTGTCCCTTGCATAGGAACAAGAAAGAAGGTAAATGCTGACACCGACCCCCACTCCGCCTCCACTGTGAGACCTGACCCTAGCACTTTTCCTGGCACACTAGTATTTATGAAATGTGTTCTCACCGGGTGTGTGTGTGTGTGTGTGTGTGTGTGTGTGTGTGTGTGTGTGTGTGTGTGGCCTATTCAAACCAGATAATGAACAAACAGCTTGGGTTTGCTTTCATTTTGACTTAGGGGTTTCCCCTTCTCTGCTTTCCTCTTTGGCAGTCATAGGAAGTAGTGTCTCTGGTGACCCAGCTACAATACAAATGGTATTTCCGTGAATTTTGTCTTCTAGCTGTGTTCAACTTATAATGCATCCTGCTTTTCATGTATGCTACTGAGGGACTCACTGGGGTCGACCAGTTATCTTTGTTCTCTTACAAATTAAGATCAATACAAAAATAGAGTTTCCCTTAGCAATTAACATTGACACCAATAGGTGTGGTAGCTCATACCTGTAATCCCAGCACTAAGCAGGGTAGAAACAGGGTTATCTTTGTGAGTTCGAGGCCAGTTTGGTCTACATAGTGTGACTCTGTCTCAAAAACAAAAGTAAAACCAAACAAAACCCAGTGTGTTCAGTTAATTCCAATCTACTTTTCAATGCTTGCTGCACTGGTCAACCTCACTGAGCACATTCTACAGACATGCTTTTCAAACCTGCACTTTTCCGGTGACTTTGTCTCTTCTGCTCAAATTATTGGCTCAGACTACTTCTCTGTCACACTGTGAGTTTGGTTCCAGAGCCTCTTTCAGACTTCCCCTAGGGAAGCATCATTTTCTTTTCCTCTAGAAAGAACTGTTTAATGTAGCCTCTAAAATAGAGGCCAAATATATTTTAAAAGAGCCATAAAGGCTAGGGGGTTGAAGCTCACTTGGTAGAATGCTTAACTGCCATGTGCAAAGCCCTGGGTTCAATCTCCAGGATCACATAAAATCAGGCATAGTAGCAAATGTCTTTAATCTCCACTCTAGGGAAATATAAGCAGGAGGCCCACCCAGTTCAAGGTCATCTTTGGCTATATATGGAATTCAGTGACACCTGTGACACACAAGACTTTCTCAACTCTCTTCTGTTGTCCCCCACCCCAAGAAGAGAAAAAAATGAAGTATAAATGAATAATTTTTTTTGAGACAAGTTCTGGCTGGCATGAATTCTAAATCTTCCTTCCTCAGACTCCTAAGTGCTCAGATTGCAGATGGATATTCCTTATAGTGTGATGGTGTTGTTCCCGAGACTCAGCATCTTTTGGGGGGGGTATAGGGTGACAGATCTGTGGTAGACAAAGAGCTTGTCCAATACACGGGAAGCCACTGTTTAGTTTGGCTGCTATGGTCAGATGTACTTGTTTCCAATACAGAGAAAAGTCTGACTTGTTAGGCAAAAGATCCCAATTGTGAGTGTGGGCATGAAACAAGGACAGGAAACTTGACCAAGTTAAAGATCGTGAACTTGTAGCCTCTAAACGGTCAGTTCTGAGAATGGACAGAGGAGCAGGTTCAAGTGTGAGTTGCACACACCTGTAATCCCTTCCTCCAGAGACCTGCTTCTCCTTTTGCTATGCAGGTGATCAAATCCTCCATGCTGTTCTGGCAGCCAAAAGACCATCCTGATCTAGGCAGGCCCCTTTGTTACTCGAATTTGTGTTCTGGCTGCTCTTCTGGGTCCCATTCACAGTGGATAAGCATCTCTTAAACAGTATGCAATTAAAGACTTTGGCCAATAAAATCACTTAAGTCAACTAAGCCAGAAAAAAACCTTTGGCTAATGCTATTCACAGTCCAGAGGGTCCTTCCCTTTTTATTTGCAAACAAATGCTAGTTTTCTCCTGTGAGGCTTACATAAAGTAAAAATTGCAAAATATGATCATCAATGAACTGATCACTGCACCCAGAATTCACTTCCGTGTAGACCAGGCAGATGCACACACTCACCCCACCTGGTCATTCAGTGGGCCGTGGGCTCATAAGCACACAGTTCTCACCGGAGAGCACTTGGTAGACATTCTTGTAGGGATGTTGGTGGCCATCTTGCCCTGAGCCGTGTATCCTTACCTTCATTACTTCCTCCTCCTAGGGAGAAGTGACATTCTTGGCTTTCATTTAAAAGGGCATTCTGTCACATCTCCAGCAATGAATGTTTTTTTTTTTTTGTTGTTTTTGTTTTTTTTTTTTTTTTGTCCTGTATCAGTATGGCCAATGTATCTCTTGCAGACCAGCATTATAATCATACTGTATTTTTAAATGTAGATTTTATTATTATGTTGGCATGACCAGGCCAATGGATCAAGAGGTGACAGCCACTCAGAGGGATAGTTTTTTATCCTTGCAGCTCCCCAGTGGAAAGGCATATATGGAAGCCCAACAGTACATCTAGCAAAAGACTTCAGTGTGGCTTCTGAGTAGAGGACCAGGCAGGGCATAGGGAAAGGGGCCAATGCAGAGAATTTAATGCTTTTAGGGGCAGAACCATCCCTAATTGTTTGGTGTCTGGGCCCAGACTGACTAGGGCATGTGGATAGTGTCCCAGACTATGGAAGCCAGTAAAGAAGGAGGCTACAGGTATGGCTCTGGATTGGTGAGTCTGCAGGCGAGACCTTATTGTGGATCTCTAAGAACTGGCTAACCCTTGGGAGACAGTCCAAGTCAGTGTGTCTCCAAGATGCCAAAACATCAAATATAGAAACTAAAAAAATGTAGTCATTACATACCTAACTCTAGGAACCCTAGTCTATGGGCATCTGGTTTTACTTATTTAAGGGCACCAAGAAAACCCAAAATGTAGCCTGCCTGTATGTCTCATGATAAACCCTGCACTTTACTTTGCACAAGGCACAGGGTTCCATTTAGCTGCCTTTGCTTATTTGAATAGGTGATGCATTCTCATGGTCTAAAAATTCAAATAAAGAGGTTTTAGCATTTTTGTCCCCACCCTGGTCCTCACAAACATTGCTTAGTTTCTACTGTAACCATCACATACATATGATATTTTTCACTACTTGGGATTGGATCCAGGGTCTTGCACATTAGGCATGTAGTCTACCACTGAACATATCCCCAGTCATTTAGTGTGTATGCATGCTTATGGAAGTTGGAGGATGACTTACAGGAATTGGTTCCTCCTGCCACCATGTGAGGGGTCGCAGGGATCCAACTCAGGTCATCAGCCTAGGCAGCAAGCATGTTCACCTGCTAAGCCATCTTGCTGGCCTCTGAGTCACTTCAGATTGATCTTAGAGTCAAGTATTGGGATGAGGTCTTCCTATTCAAAGAATATGCAACTCATTCCTAATCAATTGAGTGTTTATTTGGAATTTGCTAATCATGGATGCTGCTCTTTTCTTAGGATTTTATATTAAGATTTAAATTAATAGATATTGTTTGAACATGGTACAACACTCAAGAGTAAAGCATTGCCCGTCGAAATGCTAGTTCCTGCTAACCCTTGCTTCCTAGCCACTCAGTTTCCTTGTGTAGGAACAGCTGTCATTGCTAGTTTCCTGGGTAACGCCCGAGAAGCATATAATTTTGTTAAGAGCTAGCATACCCATTCATGCACCTGCATTCTGCACTTCATGGTTTGGATGCATATTCTTAGTAGAGCTGTTTCATTCTTTTTACTGACATCTGTTTATTTGGCGAGGCTACACTTTTCCTTTCTCATATTTCCTTCATAAAACTCCCTGTTCCCTTTCTCTTTTAATTTTCAAAACTGAAAATCAATAACCACATACTTCAGAATATTATCCATTTATCCACACACTGTTAATTCAAAAGATAGGTACAAGGTGTCACCTGCAAGGACACGGGCTGTTCCAGCACTAGGAGTGTATCAATGAAGAGTGACGCTCATTTCTAACAGATGGGAGATGCAATAGACAAGTGAACAAGGTATGTGAAGAGAGTGGCTGCAGTCTGAATGTGGGTACCAGCTAGACGGCCAAGACAGTCTATGGCTTCTCTGACAGTGGAGCCAGTCATTATCCCTAGAGCACAAACGGACTTTGGGAGCCCATTCCCTATGGAGGGATACTATTGCAGCCCAGATACAGCAAGGAGGGGTCTAGACCCTCCCCCAAACAATGTGACAGACTTTGAAGGTCCTTGGTAGAGGGCCTCACTATCCCTGGAGAGGAGTCGGGGGTGGGTTGGGTGGAAAACATGGGAGGAGGGGAGGGTGAGGGAATGGGGGGATGGATATGTAAATATGAGTAATTTAAAATAATAAAAAATTTAAAAAAGAAAAACAAAACAAAAGAAAGAAATGTGGTGACCACATAGGTTCCCCTGGGAAGGTGAGGTTTGAACAAATACTAGGAGGCGCTAGGGGAGCGGGTCCTTTGTGAGCCTTGTGAACCTTGGAACCGTTATAGACCGTAGCTTTATTTTGAGTGAGATGGGAATTGTTGTAGGGTTTGGAACACACATAGACCATGTGTAAGGATCATTCTTGGTTTAAGGTAGAGAAAAGATTTGAGGGGGTGAGCTAGAAGTAGGGAGACTATTGTCAGTCCATTTGGGATGCTAAAAGAAAATGCATTAAACTGGGCCACCTATGAACAACAGAAACACATTACTCACAGTTCTGGAGACTAGAAAGTCCAAGACGAAGCTAGCAGATCTGAGTCTACTGAAAGTCCATCCCCTCACATGTGTTCCCACACAGCAGAAGGAGCAAATATGCTCCCCAGCCTCTCTCGTAAGAGAACCAATCCCATTCTTGAAGCCAGAACCCCCTTAACTTGTCATGCTCCAAAGGCCCCCTTGTTTATTGACCAACAGTTGTTATTATGTTACATTTGAAGTGTCACACAGTAAAGAAACATGAACTGGAGTGACAGCAGGATGGCAGCCAGCGTGATGAGAGGGCTGAGTGGAGCTGGGGATAGTTGAAGGGATAGGTGGTGCCGATTTTGGAA